GAGGGGGCCCGTGATGCTGCTGAAGCTTACTTTGATGTTCATGTGACCTGGTGGTACCTTCAAGGTGTTCTGGTAATGTGTAATTCAAGGTGTTCTGGGAACCCCTGACCGTGTTAACAGTCAATGAGGTGAGCAATCTGGTGTGGCAAACTCATGAACCTGGAGCAGCAGCCATCACAGCCTACAAGGAGGAGCGCGTATCTCGTGCACGGCAATTGGGAATTTCCACCGATGGCATTGCCACTCAGCTTGCTCTGTGAATGAAAATTGTCATTTGCCATCGGTTAACCTGCAGGTCGATTTGTTTGACACACAATGTCCCACTCTTTTGGGTCAGGTCCCGGTCATCTTGCTCAACTGCACCGCTCCGGCATTGGTTGGTGTGAACCCACTCCATGCAGCCATGCACATGAGCCAATATGTCCTTTCCGATTCCATCAAGGGCATTGGCCTTGTGTTGACACCTGTTTTTAGCTATACCAAGAACGGTGTCTGGAAAGAGGAATCCACCATCATGCAATACTTGGCCAATACTGGAGCGCATTGTGACCGCCAGTGGTTCTTGACTTTCAAGGAAAAGTGTGCCCAGGGCTGAGTTTTTGAGAAATGACAATTGAAATCCAAAGGAAATTTGTTTTGCTGATTGTTGTTTTCTGTGCAAGGATGCTCGGGATGATCGGCCTCTCACATATCCTGGGCGTGTTTTGATGCCAGCAGCTGTGGTGGGCAAAGACTACTTTTGGAAAAAGAGTGGGGTGCTCACATATGGCCGTACCGAATCGGTCAAGCAAATGGCCAGCAAAGATATGCGCACCATTGAAGACTGCAATGCATCTGCCTTGCCTTCAACGACTGCTGCTGATGGCGGTGTCCGCGGTGCGGCCAAGAGTGCCCAGATTGGGGGGCCTGCTGCCTCCAAGGTTCTAACTCTTTTGATTGAGTTTTGGCTTGCATTCATCGTTGAATGGGTTACATTTTGCTATGGTAATGTCAACTGTGCTGAGTTTGAGGATGGAGTGAACTTCGGAAATCAATCTGCCTTGGATTTCCTGGACCTTTTTCCAGGTGTTGGCAACTTCTTTGAGGCACACCCTTGGCAAAATACATGTTTGTATTGTTTGCTCCCTTCCATCGGTCTGTCAGGGATTCGTGGACGCGCAGCAGAGCGCAAATGTGAGCATGCATTACACATGCATGTGGCCTGATGACAATGCGGCGGATTGGTTCAAGACCATCAGTGTGGACATCTTGGCTGCCAGGTTTGTGGAGGACAAGTTGGTCGTGCCAGGGCACACGAGGACTGAAAGTTGCACATGAAACTCTGGAGGGTCACAGGCAATCTCATCAAAGCCATTCCTGCCACTTGCTCCTTGTGGCTCAAACCACCGGCACTAGACCCAGCCAGCGGCTTTGTGGGCGCCATGCCGCAGGCACCTCGATGGGAACCAAAGACGGAGAAGGAGAGGAAGCTTCGCACCATGATGGACAAGAAGTGGCTGCGTGAGAAAAAACGCCGTGAGAAGAAACGTGAGAAGAAGATGGCCCTCCACACTTCTCAAGGAAAGACGGAGCCAGCGCAAGACAGCCCTACCAGCCCGGCTGACTCCTTGGAGCCATTTTTGCCACCAGACCCTCATGGTGGGCTGCAGGACTTCAAGTTGGTGGAGACGCCAGTGAAGCAGCCGAAGCTTAGCCCAGAAAAATTTGTTGAGGCCATGGCTACCTGCGAGCCTGATGAGCTTCCCAGGGTGGAGGCCAAAGCTACCTGTGAGCCTGATGAGCATCCCAAGGTGGAGGCCAAGAGGGCCAAGAGTTCTGATGAACCTGCCAAACACCTCCGTCACTTTCGGGATGAATTTGACCGGAAGTTTTTTGAGTTGGGTGAGCCAAAGCCCAAAGCAAAGTTGTTGTCCAAGCCTTCGGCTGCTAGCTAGGACTCACCGTGAGGCAGAAAATGCATGCTTGTTGTCTTGCACTTTGCACTTTCTGCAATGTTCTTTACACTTCCTGCATTAAATGTGTTCTTGTTTGTTTGCTAGTTTGGCTGCCAGCCTTGGCGCCAGCCAGCCTTTCTGGGTCTGGCAGGCAACCTGGGACTGGCAGCCATTCTGGCTGGCTGCATGCTGTTTCTACTTGTTTTGGTTCTTCTGCGCTGTCTTCCTTCATTTGTTGCTTGCAGGATGGGGCCTGAATGCCCTGCGCAGACTTTGGAGCCTCTACCTGATCTTCCTCCAATGAAGAAGCTCATCTTTGCGAAGGTGTGACTGAGTGCATGTTCTTTCGTGCACAGTGCATGTTCTCGCCTGGCCAGGATGCTGATGGCATTGCTGTGGTTCCAGGGGTTCCCGAGGACTTGATCCGTTTGTATTACCAACATGAAACCTTTGGTGAGCGCTTCCGCAAGTTTGTTGATGACCTGACTGAGCAGTATGGCACTGTGGCCGACTACAAGGAAGCCAACCGAACCGGCCCAGGCACCAAGCGTGCTGGGACATCGGAGGCAACCGATTCAGCCAAGCGTGCTCGAAAGGGTGTTGCCCCTGTTGCTGTGGATGAGCTGACTGGGGTGGAAACTCGAAAGGCTGGGCAGATAGCAAACTATCAAAGCTTGCCCAAACTATCCAGACCGTTTTTGATGTGCTGGCTGGCCAGGTGATTTTGCAAAGCATCAAATCTTCTGGCGCCCCTCCATTCTTGTCCGTGCGAACCGGATCTGTGGTGGCACTTGTGAACCCTGCAGACACACCTGCCGTTTGCCTCAATTAATCACAGATGTTATGATGTTTTCATTGTTCTGAGATGGGCGGGCTGTGTGCTGCCTGCTTTGGGGCCTGTCAGGTCCACATTGCCATGCACTCTCTCTGTTGTGGGTTTGGAGAGGGGAAATTCCGCGAAGTGAGTGCTACCACATCACCTTTTGATGCTGAAGCCGAGATTGCGTTTGACTTGAAGGACGCTTCGGACCTGGTTATGCTGGACAATAAGGTTCTGAGCTTGGCTGAGGCCATCCGCGCCAAGAAGGCGTCCACTGGTGCTGCATCAGTGTGTTACCACACCATGCAAGAGAAGCCTGGTGAGGACACCTTCACTTTGCAGCAGGCTCGGCCTGATGAGTCTTGTCTGTTTCCTTTTTTTTGGGGCTAGTCGGTGCTGCACAAGACCCTTGCAGGACCACAAAGTCGTGTTCAAGCCAAAAGCAGGCCAGCTTGGTGAGAACACTGAGGGCGCCGTTGCATCAGCCACTCAAGTGATGGGTGCTTTGACTATGCCATGCCACTTTTGGAGCACCAAAACAAGTGCTGTGGTGTGGATGGTCCGCTGGACCGTGAACGGTCTGAGCCCAATTCGGCCAGTTGTGATCTGGCAGATTGACTCTGCATTGGAAGGTGGCCGTGCTCTGAAATTTGAAGCCGCTGCAGCCTGAAAGGTTTGCACTTTGAGAAGTGCTTTGTGGCTGGCCTGTGTTTTTTGGTCTGACCAACTGTGTTTCAAATAACACCGATACTTTGAAGTGGCTTTGACGGCACAGGCTGGCCAGGGGGACACAACACAGTGGACTCATTGTGGTGTGTGGAAAAGTGTGCTCTCGCCTTTGATGGCTTGTGGGTGGGTCTGGTGTGGTGGTGTTGCTTTGTCCAGTTGCAGGCTCGGCCAGCTTGTTTTCTGGAGCTGTGAAGTCAGTCTTGCCCGCACTCTTGGGAGCCAGCTTTGGAGTACTCAGTAAGTCTGGGCGGCGGTTTTGCTGCCAGCCAGCTTGCTGAAGATTCCAAAGTCTGGGTCCCAGATGTTGCGGGTTGACTGCTTGACCCTCTGCAACTCAAGCCTGGCAGCCGTTTGCACTGTACCAACAATTGTGTTGGTTTGTTCAGTGAAAAGGTCTGGTGGGTGAATATTGTCTGGGGGTGTGTTTGATGCTGTTGTGCTGTCTTGTTCCACTTTCTGCAATTTTTAGATGGAATGGTGCCACCAAACTTTTTCTAAAACGCTTGAGTTTTGAGAATGCCAGTAGGGAGCAACCCCAAATTAACTTTCAATACAAAAAGCACAAATATGTGCAAAAACCAACATCCCCAAATCTAAAAGGCAACAACCCCAAATGCCCCAACTTAGATTGTCCGCTCCCTTTGGTCGACGTCTGCTCCCGTTTCGGTGCTGGAAAACGTGCTCCAACGGGTTCAAGGACCTTAGGTCCGAACGGAAAGATCGAGGGATCAGACTGGGTCAGTGCAGTGCCAGGTACCCTGTATATCGTATACCTATACCAGGACACCCTAAAGGGGTGCCATTTTGCTGGTAAAGGGTGTCCATGAACCACCCTTGGGCTCCAAACCCCAATGGGGGGGTGTCTAGGTATTGTCCTGCCAATATTACATAATCACACATTATGATTACATATAGCTTGTACACGACCTTTCGGGGTATTCCTTCAATGTTCCAGGCCATCCACATCACCGAGCCCATCGAGGGAAGCCCAGATTGATGTCAAGATCTAGGCGCCCGATGACTCGCTCTGACCGGCTCCGACCGGAGTCGCTTCCAGTGCCGAGTCATCAAGGCCGATGGTCTATGGCCTCCAACCTAATAGCGATGGCCTCCAACCATGACTTACACCATGGACCTTGTTTTGGGGGCTGGCTGGATTGGCTACCTGGATTGCAGATACAAAGGTTGCCCTTAGTAGGCTCCCAACAGATCCCCTTCAAAAGCGGTTTGAAGTGTAGTTTCGCATAGTTTCACACGGGTCTGCTTGCCTACCAAGCATCTGAGGGACCCTGAGGGACCAAATACGACCAGAATTGGTCTCCACTTTACCCTTCAGGTCCCGACGTCGTCTTCCTACCTCTAAGGAAAACATCTTCCAAGTCTTGTATCAACGACCTAATCACCAACTCTGAAGGTTGCCGTTAGCTCCAACAATCCCAGGACCAGCTCCAACTCCGGACTCCATCACCTCGACAAATACATCTTCCAACCCAGCTGGAACACACCCAGCACCACTCCTGTGGCAGCGGTGCCACTGGCAGCACTGTGGCCAGGGACCCTTGCTGAGTGCCCAAGCCCGCGCTGGCCGCATAGAGGGGCGCGCTGTTGGGGCTGGGCAGCAAGGCCACTAAGATGAGATCCACTAAGACCTCTGCAGATCAGCGGTTCCAAAGGTTTTGAATCCCCGACTCCAGATGTGGGCACCCCCACTTCTCCAGCACCCCGACATGGAGGGAACCGTGGGTGAATCGAAACTCCGTCCAACGACGAGAGGAGAGGTCATGCGTTATTTCCACTGGCAACGGGAGTCTGAAGCCACCAAACCACATCCCCAAAGCCCAAAGCGTTCTTTTGTTTGAATACATATGCCCAGCCTGCTCGGGCACAATGACGCCGATTTGAAAGACATAGATCCGGCCTGGGCACCGTTTGAAAGACATAGATGTCCAGACCGGAGATGAGCCTTTTTGGAATCTGCATTTGAACACCTAATGTTGTTTCCTGTGTATAGTGTATATATATATATAGTTTGTTTTTATAGTATATTTCAGTCCCAAATATTATGAGCCAATGTCCAAACCTCTTGCGTTCAATATGACGTTGCTGCAACTGATGGGATGGTGCAGCCGATCTCTGAACCACACGAGGGTCCGGTTCTTCGGGATGTCTCCTGCACTTCCAAACACCCAAAACAGCTGCTGGAGATATCAGGAATAGTTTCAGAGTAGATGGCACAACCCCCCAAAATGTCCTTTGGTCCATACATGTCCATACAAAGCACCTTTTGGGGAGTGTGCAATCTACTCTGAACCAACTGTATTGAATCAGCTGGGAATCAACATAATCAACAAACATTAAAGAAACAACACAACCTTATCCTTGGCAGTGGAGTATGACCTTTTTCTGCAGCCAATATCAAATAGATTCAATTAGCACATCCTATATCCCTTGCCATCAAGCAAAAAAAATAAACGTACCCACTGCAAAGAAAGGTCGGACAATCAACAGAACCACCGCAAGCCATCGGGCCCCATCGGGTGGGCTACTCCGATGTGCGCTTCCAGTTTCCCATCTATACTCCACAGAAAGCTTCCTTCACATCCCAGTGGACTACAACAACAGAAGCCACCTCTAACCTTGCAGCTGATGACCCGCAGCCGCCAATCTAATCCATCTGCTTTGCATTCCAATAGGGAATCGGACCCCGCCCTCAGAAAAGAATAGGTTGTGGCAGTGGTCTGTTTTCCGAACAGGGGGTCTCCCTATTCCAACAATTTCTAACACATCCATCTGTCACCACCAGCACCAGCAAAACGGCGTCACCCAGTGGCCTAGCTCCTCTGCCATCAACGGCAGCGCAGAGGGCATGGCCACCACAACTCGGGAGGTGTCCAGTGGCGCGCAGGTGGAGGGTGGCAGCACTGTGTCGCCCGGCTGCAGCACTGCAGAGCTAAAGGAGATGCAGTTGCCTTAGCAGTCAGATGACACGGACCTAAAGGACCGAACTAGACAAGATCGTCCGAGGGACCTGAGGCCCGTGGGTGAAACCCACGTCTCAAAATGAGGTTCGAACAGGATTGAACCACTAGCATGGTCAATATGAACCTCTTCCTTGCCACTTGGTCATCGATGGTTTGTATTTTGGGAGCTGGTCGGCCCCTTTGGGAGCCTTGTGTGGGGGGGGCAAAACCTGGACATGATACGTTTGACATCTTCTTTCCTTTTCCTTTTGTGCATCTCCTGAGTTGGAAGGACCACCGTTTTGGCCCGAAGCTCTGACATGCCCCCAGGACTCCAAGCACCCCCAACCTGCTGAGGATGTGGTTGGAGCCCTAGGGTACAGTACTGCACCTCAACCCCCTCCGCTTGGAGCCGAAGGGATCCCACCTCCGTCGGAGAGGCGGAACCCGGGCGCCACTTCGAGGAGCACCGCGCGCACCGTACCGTCCGCTCCTTCGAGAGGGTTTCTGTTCTCATGCAGGATGTTCGTGAGCAGAAAACATGGGCGACATGGAACAGCCCGACATGGAACATCTATAGCGTCTGGGTGATGGATGTTCATCCACTTACTTGGCCAAAGAGACGAGCGATTGATAATCAATCTTCTGCCGTGAAGCAACAACATATTCGAGGGTGCGGTGCTTGCACAAAGTAACATGGAAGTAATGCCACCAACCCATTGAGGCTTAAAGCAACCTGTAGCGGGTAAGGGTTAAACCGCTCGTGTATCGGTAGGCTCTTGATAGACCATTTCTCATCTGATGTCTGATGACATTGAAATAGGTAGGGCTAGGGCGAAGCAACCGCTCAATTTCCAGTCTTACTACTTTCACAAGATTCCAAAAGCCAGTGACATGCCAGTGAATACATACATACACAGTGGTTTTGTGTTCTTCCCTACGGTCATTTCTTGGCTTCTGTACCAACCAATTGGTACTTACATGTTTATATACTTACCAATCCAGTACAACATTCTTCATTTGGTACTATTTGGTTAAACATTTCACTGTTTCACACACACACGCGTGGGCGCACTACTCATCTGGAAGCCTCTGAACGTGCCAATTCCATGCTTCCTCACATCCTTCGACTTCGTTCGACTCTCCTCTGGGCGCTTGGAACCGCACCGTCACCAGCGTTGCAGAGGCTGGGATCACCTGAATCGTTTTCACAATCCGTGTTGAACGAGGTCGGATTGTGGAGCCCCCAACATCCGAGGTGTTATGAAGACGTGAATTCTGGGGCTTCCATTGAAAAGCACCCAATGATCCCACTCTGGCGCAAGGGATAGAGCGAGTCTTCTCCCCTCTTGAGGTTCGGTCCTGAGGATGTGATCAACCATGTGGCTCGAGCAAGAAGGACTTCGTGGTGAGCACATGTTCTGTACTTGGTCAAGTGAAACAGCTGTGAACAGCTAGTGTGAACAGCTGTAGAACCGCTAAAACGAAGAATGTACGAAGGCAACTGCTGTAATTAAACCTGACTCCTAAATCAACCCAAAAATGGACCCTGAACCACTAGATGGAAGTTAATCTTGATTGAGATTTACGTGTGATTCAACTGTACCGTAACTACTGTACTGCAAAAATTGACTATACTGTCACTGATCCTCAAATGTGCTGTTGAATTTGCAGCGACTTGGCAAAGCAACCTGGCCTCCGCCGGTGCGCTCACTTCCAGGTACGCCAAGGGCTGTGCCAGTTGCGGCGCCACTAAGCTGGGCTCAATGCCCAAAAGCCGCTGGGATGCGGTGGCCACCTCAGGACGCATTGTTCCTTTGAAAAATCACAAGCAACGACCTTTTGAAATGACCCCGGAGCCGTTTTTCTGAAACAATTCCATGTGAAAACCTATTCATGTAGCCTTCACCAATCCCTACAAAAGGTTTAGTTTTGCAGCTTGTCCACCTTTCCTGGGTAGGTTTAGGAAGGGATATAAACTCCAAGTGGAGTCAGGCGGTGCAGGTCTTAATGTGTTTTTAGGGCGCCGTTTCAACAGGTGCTCTTCATTCCGCAGGTCACGTGAACCAAACAAACCACCCGAGCAAGAAGTAGCAAGCAGCGACTCATGCGACATGTAACGTAATCATTGGGTGACATTGTACATGCTCTAGTTATATGACAAACATCACAAATGCTTCTTTCCGGTTTGGTCTTTGTCTTCCTCAAACACCATGTTCTTCAGGACAGCTAGAAGTACTGCATGAAACGCCCAAGCCAGCAACCTGGAGCTAATCAACACTGCCTAAGTATGCCTTTCTATGCGCTCAAACTCCGACACTGGACAGACCTGGCAAATGCAAAAACCGTCCAGCGACATGTGTTGTGGTCCTAAGCCTCCCAAATAAACAAAAAAGGAGCTGAAAAACACACCCACAACATGTGCTTCTATTTTTCTGTGGCGCATCCTGTGGACATTAGCAGGCAACAACAGTCGGCAGTGGCTCACTGGCCAACTGTTTAACTTCGTTGAGGTCTCCAGCCTCCTCTGAGAAGGTGGCCACAAGTAGAAGAAGTGATTACAAAAATAGAACCAGCGCATACATGTTTGGTCCCAACAAATAACATCAAATAACTTGAAAACACACAACTCAATGTGGAATAATTACCGTGCTTACAAACACACGCACACCGAATCTCTACAAAACGGTGCATATGAAACCAATCCGTGCTGAAGCCGTATGCCGATCCTGCGAGCTATTCAGATCGGTGACAAGACCATAGATCTCGAGCTCAAAGGTACCTCAACATACTGTAGCTGGAAGGAAATAGAAAGTTGGGCTTGGGATGCCTTGATATGATAATTTGGATACGATTATATCATGGTTTTTGCATGTTGTTACCCTTAGCCAGTTGGGATACGACGACGACGACGACGACGACGATGATATCTCAATGTTTCCCTGTCACCAGTTCGTATGATCGTGTGGTATATCCAATGAGTGACTTATGTTCTGATTCGTCCCCGCCGATTGAAATCCATCCTGAAAACCGACGATCCCAGTTGAACATGTTGGAAGGATTAATCCCAGTCGATGGATGTGCTGGACTTTGTCAGGGGATTCGACCCCGTGACGGTTCGTTCGCGGACGAGTCGGTGCGAACATGAACAGCTATGGCCGCCCGGGTGCGCAGGTTCATTTGCAAAGTAGGGTATCTGTGACGGCTGCAGGTACATCGATCAGAAGGTAGATCAAAATTGTAAGACTTGCTGACAACCAGAAGGTGGATCAGAAGGTATAGTCCTCCAAGCAGGAGGTAGTTCGAACTTGCTGACGCCCAGCCCGGTTCCCAGCTTCCACGGAGGGACTGAGCCACCCCCCAGAACCTTGCCCGGAAGCGCCGAGGGGCGTCCAGTGCCAGAGCTCGGGGGGTTGATGCAATAGAGGCCAAAGACATAGGCCTCTCCTGCCAGCAGTTGAGGTTGATAGGGCGCGAACCTGGGCAGGGCATCGCAGGCCGGAATGAAACCCGGCGGAGATGAGATGCATGCAGTTTGAAGATTTCCATGAAATTGCAGGTGGGTTTAGAACATGTTAGATGGCTGATGCAATACTCATTTTACTCCGGGAGAGAAGTCCATTTCTTATCGTCTATAGTTACCTATACACTCAACTCAGTCTTAGCAGGTCCATCACTTGGCCAGATTTGTCTACATCTGTCGACCATGCAGACAAACAAAAACACACAGAGGGTTGATGCTTTTTCTTGGTTCAACTTTAGACACCCAGTCTTACCACCTGTCCAACGCACCACCCCATTATAGTGGCTCATGTAAAATCCAAGAACCACCCCGACCCCCTACAAAATATCGTTTGATGAGCCAAAGAGACCCAAACCATGCACAGTGCCATGCACATGGATGGCCTCCAACCTGATAGCCATGGCCTCCAACCTGATAGCCATGGCCTCCAACCTAATGGCAATGGCCTCCAACCTACTAGCCATGATAGCGAAAAAGGCAAGAGCTGCACAGTACCATGCACAATCATGCACAGTTTGGCACTCCGAGCAACAGCAAGGGCTCCGGCAGCTTCATCTGTAAGGCCGAACCGATCAACGAGCACTCCGTCTCCAAGGGCCTCAAGAGCGTGGGAGAGAGCGTGGGAGGTGTCAAGAAGAGGTTGTTAATGGGTCCCCTTTGAATAGGATAGTACGGCAAACAGGAGCTGCTTGGATCATGTTTGTGTTTGAATCAATCCTGCATCTGTGATTTTCACGTTTTGCTGTTATCATGGCTTTGTTGGCACCAAGCAAGACAAGTCAAGAGGAGAACTAATGTTTAGTACAAACTCAATGTTCTCCTTGAGAGGTCTCAAGATTTCTTCAGATGAGCCATCTCTGTCCACCACATTGACATAACTTTCTCCCATTGATCTGCCAACCCCACCCCCCCAAACAAACTCTTATATAACCCCTTTTTCAAAACAAACTGACACAGCACACCCCGGTTCACCGATTCGATTCCGGTCGAAGGCACAAGGATCCACGGGGCGCAGTGCTGCCGCGTTCGCTGCAGCTCAGTTGGAACTCGGGAGGACCCCGCAGGCGGAGCTGGGCGAAGCCTGAAGCGCTGGGCACTGGTGGGTGGGTGGCGCTGGGCACTTGTGGGGGGGGTAAGAACCTGAATGAGCTCTATTTTGGACCACCAACCACCCAAAATATGGTCCAACTTCCTATCAAAACAGGGTCACTCAGGTCTAGGTGTATATGTTATTACCTTGAGTCTCCAATGACCCCTTTAAATTTGCCTTTCCAAGAAAAGAATGTTTTTTGAAAGAAAGCACTCTTTTTTGCATATGTCACGAAATGTTCCTTTTTTGTTTGTGCCCTGTCAGATCCTCCTTAGACAGTGTCCTGAGACCTTTTTTCGGCGTCCAAAACGCCTCTTTTTGCGTCCAAAAGGCGTCTTTATGCGTCCGCACCGGACGCGTCCGGATGAAGATTCACTCTGTACCTTTTTTGGAGTCCTCATCTCTGAAAATGCGTTTTTTCGATCAAAAACGCAAAAATATTAGACCCAAAACAGAAACACAGAAAAAAAGGTCTTTGGAGACTCAAGGTATATATGTTCTAGTTTGTGGTGCCCAGCAATGGAGTATGGATTTGGCTTCTGGAGTATTTTTGGTATTTGGTATGTATTTGTCTGGAGTTTGAGGGATGGTTTTTCTATCATCTCATGAGGCGTTTGGTGGTATTCGGGGTGGACCTCGAGGGTCCAAAGCACTCTTCTCAAATTATATAACAAATAGTCAAGAGTTATACTAGAAAATATGGGAACCAAGATCTGTTTATCCTGCATGGTTTTTGCACATACAATCTTGCCTTTGATGATATCATGATCTTTCTTTTCTTGGGTGTTGTTGTGTTCTGCGGGCAAATCAAGGTCAAGAAGTTCTGCAGGTCGCCGGGTGCCCTGTGGGGTTTATCCCCTACATACATAGAACCCATACTGGAAGATACTTATGGTTATACTATGTTGTAATCCCCTCTAAACCATCCATTGTACTCAGAGTTGTTGTAGATCAACTGGTTTCGAGGGTCAACTGCAGTCTACACTTGCAGACTACACATCACTGCAGTCTACACTTGCAGACGCCATGTTTTTGGACGTTTTTGGACGCCAACGTGTAGACAGGCACAATCCAGGCCATGCTCTGAATCGCACTGAGGGGGAGCGAACGACCATGATGTACTTTTGGGAATAGAAGGGTTGATGTGACCGGGACCATTTACCTATTGGTGGTACGCGACCGGGGATATCCCCTCTATCAACCAACCAACTCATATAGCTATACTATATACAGTAGCTACTTTAGTAAGATGCCATCCATTGGAGCTTGCCGTCCTTCCACACCATCCCGACACATGTCAAGCAGCCCATCACGTGAACCGGCGGAGTCATCTGCACCAAGATGAGCCTGAGCTTCTGGCAACATAAAGAGCCTTACATGTACTTGGATGTGATGGTTTTCTCCCCCCTCCTCTGGCGCCTCTGGCGACAGTTAGCCAAACTTTTGCGGAGTGATCGGAAAATCAACTGATGATTTGATGGTTTGATGCTGGATCTGCGTGGAGCTGGGCTCCAGTCGGGATCTTTTCTCCTTTTGGAGCTTGGTGGAAGAAGTGGATCGGAGGGACTAATTCGTAGCAAAGACTTGTACTCCAACTCTCGAATATCCATGGTCTATAAAGGTGAAGAGTGATTTTATATATTTTATGTGATCTTACGGGGATTCTCCATGATGGGAGGTTTGTCTTGAAAGCCTCGGGTTCCGAGGCTCCCACACCATTGGTGTGGCGCCAGGAAAACAGCGGGTTATACATCCAGTTGCAGATGTACTGTGAAATCGCATAATCTATGAGTATAGGTACTTACAACCAAGTGTTTCCCAAAACCGATTGGAATCAAGTGGACTATTTCACCTCGCTAGGAAGAACATATCACATTTTTGGTCGATTGGGCCTGTTCAATCAACATGACTCCAAAGCCAATTCAACCTATGATCAAAATATATACGTATCACAACCCATGGTTCATGCACTTTCCAGACCATCCCTCACCGACTTGGGTGTCACAGTCTAATTGAGATCTTTCGTCACCCAGGGAGTCTTCGGAGCTCGGGATCCTCGAGAGGAGGATCCGTATGACCGCTCGGCTCGCCGGCATAGGCCGGTGCACCCCCGCCCACTGAGACTCGTCTCCCGCGAGACGAGTACTGCTGATCGCTGGTGAGGTACTGCGTGAGATTTTGACGCACATCGCTGGAGAAGAGGCCCACCTAGCAGTGACCGTTGATGAAACCTGGTTCCAACAAACCGAGTTCCAGCGTTCGCCAAGCAAATGACACTCGTCTCCAGGGTGGATCTTTGCTTTCTTCTGCTTCGACTGAGAAGCTGTGCTAGAATTGTCCAACAAACGATTCATGAGAATAGCCAGTGGCCAACGCCTTGAAAGCTCTTGAACTACTAAGTGCTCTAGCTGTGTACTTGACCTGAGGGGAAGATTCTCGACCCCGTACTTGTAAGCCAGCTACACAAACCAATGAATATAATCATGAACAAAGGTCATGGTTTCAAGATGTTTCAAGATGTTATCTTGGAAATGAGATTGTGTTTGCTTGCAAAAACGTTTTTCTTTTTCGTGGACCAACCCACCTCCTCTGGGACAAAACACATGGGACTCGCCATCTTTTTTTTTTGTCGAGGCACATTCGACAAGGAGTACAGGTCGAAGTTCGAGATGGACCGAGCCAAATGCAAAGTCGAGGAATCCCTCTCAGTGGAAAAGGTCCACGTGTTGTCCTCGGAGTCGACTCTTCTGCCGCCGAAGGTGTTCCCGATTTGTGCGGCAGAAGACATGTACAGGTGGAGGATAAGGAGCCCCCCCCCCGCTTTTTTGAGGGGGGTAAAGGGGTTCATAATTGATGACCCACCAAAAAATGGGATGTGTCACGAATCTCTTGGGGGTGGTTTACCAATCAACGGTCGACACTTCTAGATTATTGTGGGCAAACAACTGCCACCTCGGACACTTGAAACATCTTAAAACCCTCCTTCGCATTTCATTATACAATATAGATAAATACAATGTGACATGTGACATGTGCTCCAAATTTAGAGGAGACGTTTCCCAGCCTAAATGGCTCTGAAGAATCTTCCTCCGGGGTTCACGACTGCAAGGATGACCTTGCCAAGTAGCTCAGTGGCCGAGTCTTTTGAACATGGCAAAAGTGCTGCGTCAGTCAATGACTTGGTGTGCAAAGATTGACATGCAAACCTCAAAGTGCAAGCGAGTGTCCACAGCGATACCCAAAGGATTGGAGAGCCTCAGAATCAAAAAAACAACTTTCAGCAACCAAGCATCGACCGTGGAAGTTTTCACGGTTTCTTCGGTTTCCAACGATCACATCGTTCGACTCCAACGACTCCGGTGGACACGTGTGGTCCGTGTCAGGCCTCACCGAACGTTGCGACGTCCTCCGTTGGGTACGGGCCGACTGAGTCCAATCTGAGTAGGTATGCAAAAGGCCCCAATGGACCTGGCAGCATTCATGGTGCTGTCAAGTGCCTGATCAGTCACGCTACTGTACACATACAATCCGGCTGATCAGTCATACGTCTGTGGTTGTGATCAGTCATGGTCCTATATAAATATATATACGCTAGACCTCCATGGATAGAAAAGCAAATTCCCACGTTCAGAATGTGTTGGAAAGCGTGCCACTATCTATTTGGGATCTATAGATGGATCATAGATGGATGCTGACCAACGCTGTTGGCTCTTGTGCTGTTGAGGAAACTCAGGGCCTCGACCTGCCACGACCGAAGAACTCCGACCGTGTCAAATCGGACCATCCCCGCCGATCGACTTTCCATACCTGACAGGTGAACTCACTTCACTTCCACTTCCTATTTCAGGGAGTGAGTACAGCTACTTCCAGGTGCTCCAGCTACTTCCAGGTGCTGCAGCTCCTTCCACACACGAGGAGAAACGCCCCAGCCAGCCGCATAAAGCCGCGCTGCCGGAGTTGGAAGTGGTAGGAGACGTCCAGGTGCAAGGTCTCGGTCCTGACGGCGCAAAGTCTCGGTCATCCCCCAGTGGCACCACCCCTGAGGGCCGTTTCGCAGTCCGGACTGTCCCAAATGGCGGTCGTGTCTGGGTCGGTGGCAAGGAATCGATGCCCACGGCTATAAACTATATACAAGCAGCCCAGTCACCAGCTTTGGGAGAATTTGGGGCAAACTCCTTTCCTGGTTTAAAATGGGCTGAAATGCATCTAACATGTTATATGTTTGTAATTATATATATATATATGTGTCATCATGTCCAAATGGTTGAGGATGATGGCACGGTCACTTGACACTCGCAAACCAGAAGTTTGCTGAACCTTCTGTCACTTGGACGTCACGTCTCAACGCCCCGCAACCAGTAACATGCGTCAAACCACCAGTTTTTTTTTGCCTCAGCAGCAGGTCAGTCGACCTTGCTGGTCTATACCAGTCATTGTGTGCTTCTCAGTTGGGCTTGGTATCCTTTCTTTTTGCTTCGTTTTCCTTTCTTTTTGCCCTTGCTCTGCGTTCTCCGTCGGATCTGCGCTCTTTTCTTCGTTCCCTTTTCGGGTTTCAACTTCCAGATCTCATTGCCGTGATCCTACAGACTGACCGGAAGGGACATGGGACATGGGTGGGTTTTGCTTTTCCACTCGTGAGGTGTTGCTTTTGCTCTTGCACCCTGGTCGACCGATGGTTTGACAAAAACATGCCCTGCTTGATGGTTTTGTTTTGTACCCTCCAGTGAATCATAACAATATATATAACAATAGTGTTCAGAGATGTCTTTAATGATTTATCCAGACTTGGTGTCCAGGTGAAGGTTTCAGGGTGAAGAAAAGCCACTGCCAGCTCGCCCGCTCACCAAGCCGCCGTGTGACCAAACACCGAACATCTCCAGAGCGCTGGCGGTCGACCGTGGGCGGTCTTTAGTACGTACACACCCCCAGGTGTGGGATGCTGTCACAGTGCCCGTCTGTTCCACAAAAAAGGTGTAACAAATTCAAAGACTCTCTGAGCAAATGCAGGTCTTTGAGGGATTGAAGGATCCAAGGACGGATTTGCTGTCCAGGAACCAGGATCAAAAACAAAATGTCTTCCCCATCGTTCGCGGATTCACCCGGATTCAGTTCTCTGACTTCGGGACAGGGAGCCTCCTGAAGAGGTCCATGCATCTGTCGGTGTCTTCTGTCGGTGTCTTCTGGGGCCCAGGCAGGTCAATCAGCACAAGATCTTGCTGCAAGCGGCAACCTGGGCGATAAACATCCATGAACCTAGCTCTACGCCAGTAGATACCTACCTAGGTATCGGTACAAGACGGTACAAGTGTGGAGCCAATGACGAATGTTCTGATTGCTTCTGATCCTCTCTCTGATTCCAATCCTCCCCTTGATCCACTCTCCCTATCACAAGTTTGTCACACAACATGTTTTTCTATTATATCATATGTTTAAATACTCGATTACGTGATTTGAACAACAACACTAAGAGACGTGCCCTTTCATGGTGCTCCACGTGTAACCAACGGCCACTTTTGGATTGCCCAGGTGCGGGAGGAACTGGGCAAACCCCGTGGAACGAAGCCATGGCTTTGCACCTGGCAGGTTCGCGGACGTCATAATCGGTGAATGTTTTGGAGAGGAACATCCTTTCTACTAGTAACTTCTTGCTACTATAGTAGTAATGCCCTTGTTTCTAGTAGCGATGCCCTTGTTGATAGCTTCTAGCTACTAGTAACTGGCAAAGACCCTGATAGCAAACAGTTTTTCTCAGGCCATCAAACTTCAACCATGAATCCGGTAGGCATCCAGTCTTCAGTCGGGATGTTTAGGGTTAAACAGTTGTCAATATGAAAAACACCGCAGCAACACGGCAGCAGCTCTTCAACGGTGCCCCACCGCAGCGAAACAACCACCTTTAATGATTTTTTTTTGAATTGGGACGTGGCAGCGGCGGCAGTGATAGCCGACAAACAAAACAACGGCAGCCAGCAAAACAAAAGCAACGAAACGCGGAGAAAGATCGCCTTGCGATCGAAAGATCAGCCGGGCGCAGAATGCGGAATCAGTACTGTTTGCAGTTGGAAGCAAACAATTTGCAATGAACGCTTGACAACAAAACAACAGGCAACAAAAATCACGGCCAACTAAGAAAACGTTTGCATGTTCTTGTAGTCTGGAGTGAAAGGTGCATATTCGTTGATGGATAACAATGGAAGATAATGAACGTTTCACTTTATGGTCGGTGCCTACCTTAAAAATGCAACTAAAGTGCTGGCCACCCACTGCATATTGTAAATGTCCCCGTTTTAGATGTCCTCCTTTCAGCATAATGTTTCACCTCGAGTGCCACGGTTTGAGGTGTCTAGTATGCAGTACCCAGCATGGCAAAGTGCAGCACACGGCCCAGGCCTTCCCCACATTGTAGGTCTCGACACCCAATTGGCACCACCACCTCGCGCGCGCCGCTCTCGCGGTGCCGCGGGCGTTGGAATAGTGACGCAAAGTGATCGTTCAGGGTTGGTCAAAACAAACATCCCAAGAAACGACAAAACAGTACAGTGTTCCTTTTTTTTTTTGAGGTCATCAATCTGTGGGTTGCAGTGTGCACGGGGCAGGCTTGGGCAGGCATAGATTCATGATACACGAGCATGCCAAGATCATCCAAAACCCAGATGAATGTAGTTTTGGCTTATTTACAACTAATGAAGACCGGGTGGTTCAAAAACCATTGGCAACATATTGGCTGTATTGGTGAATTACGTGCTTTGCAAAGGAAAAATACGGGCTCTGAACAGATTGGGTTTTGGAAAAAATTGTTTTCCTAAGGCTTGGTTGCACCTCAGACTTCTTGGTTGAGGCCAAAGATCTGAAGGGGCCAGCTGACTCGCTTCAATGAAAGGCCGAGCGCAAAAACACCAGCCAAGATGCAAGTTCTCTCCCAAGAGAGATTGATCAACGCCGAAGCCGCCAGGAAGTTTGATCGCCTCAAGGTAGGGGCTTCAACTTCCGCTGCTTTGGTTAATTCGGGCAGGCGTCGCGATTGGGAACGCTGGCCCCCCTGTTCACTCCAACTTTGGCATCTCGCTGCGTGCAAGAGAAAAAACAACGTGCAACTCAGCCTGAAATCTCAATCTTTACAGCATGCTCGCACGCGCGTACCATGATGTCCTTCATCTGGTGCGCGGGTGGCCGACAACATTTCCTCATCATGCTGCCCGTGCGTGGACGACACGAGAATTCTTGCTGGACTCTGGACCCAGAAGCTTCACCTTCTTTCATGTTCAACCATAAAGCGTGGCAACGCAACGATACATGAGGTCGTACTTATAAGCATTTGTAGCTGACAGCGGCGCCGGCGGCCAGGAGGCGGTCCAAAAAGAACTTGAGTGAACGAAACCTATCTCTTTCTATAGTTCCCCGTTCAATACAGTAATGGCTGCATCCATCCAAAGGGTTGGGAGTGGAGATGTACCAAAATTCAGATCTTGAAGCCCAGCCCAGCCGGTAAAGATGAAACTTTGGTAGAAAGTTCAACCCTGACCCCGACGTAGACATCTTCCAACTTTGATCAAACAAGCAATGGGATGTCCGGGAAAAACGGTCACCGATTTTTGGCATGCGTGCGGCTAGTTCGTTGCTATTTACAGTACAGTACTGTATGGGCCTTGAAGTGCCAATTTCGTGGTAGGTGCAATACTTTGTGGACCTTGAAGTGCAGAGTTCGTGGCAGGCGCTGCACATTTCGTGGCAGGTGCAATACTTTGTGATCTTTGTGGACTTTGTGGACCTTGAAGTGCAGATTTCGTGGCAGGTGCAGCACTTTGTGGGCCTTGAGGTGCAGATTCCGTGGCAGGTGCAGTACTTTGTGGACCTTGATGTGCACATTTCGTGGCAGGCGCCGTACTTTGTGGACCTTGAAGTGCAAATTTCATGGCCGGTGCAGTGCTTTGTGGACCTTGAAGTGCAGACTTCGTGGCAGTACTTTGTGGACCTTGAAGTGCAGATTTCGTGGCAGGTGCAATACTTTGTGGACCTCTCCCAGCTTGAACCCCCATCCACAACCACCACCATCACCACGATCTCCACCTTCATCACCACCATTACCTCTCTGGACCCCAATGCGTCTAGATCTATAGACTTTCTGCTGCTACACCTCTAGTCTAGACCTCAAACACATTGTTTGGGGTCTCTTGCCGGGATAATCATTTTTTTGTGCAGTAATGGCACTAGGCGCTAGGAATTGAAGTTCCTTTGACATGACTGCTGCGCCGGTCCAAATTTGCTGAGGAGTTGCAGGTCATCAGGATTTGGTGAGTGTATGATCATTTTTCAAGTCCGTCATGTTATTGTTTTTTGGTGAGTGTCTTATCGCTTTTGAGCGAACCATGCATGTTGAAATGACCACTGCCACTCACTGACCATTTGTCACTTTCACTCATTTTGAGCCTAGCTCATATGCAACTGCAATGGCGTCCCCAACACTACCCGACCAACAATTTTCCAACAGCAGTTGTACAATGTGTTGAAACTGGTTTTCTTCTTGTTTAGTTAAACCCATGCGACCTCCAGAACTTTGGATTGGTCAAGAACTCCAGCTACCCCCGACCCCCACGGGCTTCGCACAAACAAAAAAGCCCGACCGACCGGGTCCGGTGGCTTCACCCAACACGAAGCAGCTCTTTGGTGGTGCTGGTGCCGCCCACCGTGAAGCGCCGCGGAGCGGCTAAGGTGGAGGTTCTGCCGTGGAGCTCGGTGCTGCCCAGGATCACCTGGCGCCGAGTCGCTCGATCACAAGGGCCGAGCAGGTTCCTCCGCGACAAAAGACGGGCCGTGCATTCTGCTGGGTCTTGAAATGCACCGAAGGGCACAAGATACTTTGGTTCAAATGTGTTAACGTTGTTTGCATCTCCAAGTTGTTTGTCATGGATCCATCTGCAGGTGGATTCGGAGGGTAGAGTAAAGCACAAATGTAGGAACTAAGTAAGGCACAGTTAACTGACCTTTTCAGTTCCATGAAAAACATCATTTAAGTGGAAAATCAAAAACGAATACCGCCAAAAAGCTCAGAAAGTAGGCTTTAAGAACGCCTTGAAGGACTATGAGGAAGAACCTACACCAAGCAAACACGATGTGGCCTAACACCTTGTGTGGCCTGATTCTGCATTCACCTCCCACCCCAATGTATAGTGGTCCCCAAATAGATAGTGGCACGGCTTCCAACACATTATTCTTAGTGCGGATCTAATGTTCTATCTATTGGGGGTCTATATAGGAACGTATGGCATACATTGGCATACATGGATTGTCTCGCAAAAGGTGTTTTTACAATAACACAGCCATACCCTCCCACAACCGCCTGCTTTTCAGATCACGGGTCTTCCCATATTACTAAAACATACTAAAACCGTCTTTATGTTGGTCAAGGATGATCCAAGTCCTGGCAAAGCCAATGTTGGATGGGTTTGGGGGCTTCCTTGCTAGTTCTCCAAGTTAACATCATAACCCTCCCTTCTTCCAACATGGATCCTTTCTGATGAGACCATCCACGCTTCGGCATCGCCTGCACCTCCACTTCGTTGGGACTCCTCCCAGGCAAGACCTCGTTTCTTATGCAGCCCATAACACCAACACAACCAACAAACACCGAGAACGGGACCCTCCAACCCCCACTCTCCGACATGTCTTACAGAGACTCGACATGGATGACGAACAGTGGTATTTCAAACGGGAACCTCATGAAATGTCGCACAAGAGTCTGGTCAACAACTCTCTTTGTGATCACTTTCTCCTGGTCCAACCAGTGGCTCAACCTGGTGCATGAAAACTGCATGCTAGATAGAGTGTCGCTCAGCCTGCATCTTTTCCCATCTTGTCTGAACATTTCAGAAACGGATTGGGCGAATTGAACGATGCTCATGATGCTCTCTAAAGCGAGGTCCGCCAGGCGAGAAACGGAGATGATACAGTTCATCAACCATTAAAGCCGAGGTCTTTCGTGACAGCTCGACGTCGGTTTGGGTCGAAGGAACAAGTTGATCGCCGAGCAAAGTGAATCTCAAATGGATCTGTCGATGGAATCAACTTTCTTCATGTTTTTGTCTTCATCCAGGAAGCCGCTAGACCCGCCGTCCTGCCTTTCACTTCAAAATGCGAACAACAATCACATGAACAAGACAACACATGCGACTTGACCTCGACCTCATGCGCCGTCCAGTACTCCCAAATAGTCTGTTTCAGCCCATTCATAGCCATAGCGCCGACCCGCCCCTGACCCGCTTCCCACCCCGACTCAACGACTCAAGGCGCTGAAGAAGGGGAGATTTCCACCCGCTGGAAGAAGGCTTCCAACTTGAAGGCAGGAATCTGGCGCCGCGCGTTTCGACCACCCGGTGGCGGGTTCGGCCGAAACGCCGTCTCCCTTGGGGTGGGGGAGTGAAAAAGCGGGCTCCGCCATGGCGAACCCGAGGTGACCGGAAAAAAGACACTCGTATACCCTAAGGATCCGGACCCTCAAAAACAATGGTTTTGAGGGTACAAACCCCTGTTTTAGAGGGTTCGAGCCCTTAAACATGGAGGGTCCAAGGATCCATTAGGGTCAAAAGGATCTGGAGTCCAGAGATTCTCGTTCATCCATCCGAACGGTCCTATGACCTATGCGTCTGATCTGCGGGAGGATCCCATCCAGTCGGTCGCACGCACCTGCGACCTCCAGCAACCAATGGAGTTGTTTTGGAGATGAACATGGGGACTGACCGTGTGGGGTTGTGTGTCTGTCTGTCGGTCCTTCTTTTGGGACCGCTGGCGACTGACGGCTTTCTTTGGTCAGCACAGGGCACAGGTTGTCTGTCTTTGACGAAAGGAACGTGGCAGGTTGCTTTGAATTGGGAAAACACTCGAGGATCTGGTCTGCACGAAGCCAGAACAAAAATTGAACCTTCCTTGAACATTCACTTAGCTTGTTGGTATGTCTTGGGTCCTATAACCTCCTGCGTTGGATACAAGACTTCACGAGACTTAGCACTTAGCAGTGTGAAACAAAGCAATCACCTTCTCCCCTAATCGAAGGGCCATTCACTTATCCACATCGTAGTGTCAAAAAGGACAACTGCAGGTGGCAGGTGGTCACAAAACTGCTGTACATGCTCCCCCCAAATCGTGGATCTTCTCCGTGAGCCTCCCCAAATCTCCGACCACGCCGGTGTTTCGCTTGTTTTCGACGGAGTCGGTGCACCCGAGTGTTGGCCGAGACCACGCGGCCGCGTTCGTAACACATCCTGGCCCAGCGTGGAGAAGATGGAGACAACGAGATGTACAGTATGGTAAAGCCATTCAATTAACCAACATCTCAGGAAGGCAAATGGGAGATGTACACTCCCTACTTGAGCCTTAGATGATCATGGAAAATGGACTTCACCACCTATGTTGCATTCGGAGTATACTAGTATCTAATATCTTCGAAGGACAGTTTGGTGGAGTTCACCACTGGTGGGTACTCGGAAAATCGAATATCTTCAAATTGTAGTTTAGTGGAAAACAGGCTGTTGGGTACTCGGGAAACGGTATACACCTGATATTGAATCTTCAAGGGGAATTCTTGATATGTGAGTCTCATAACGCATCTTAATTCCTTCAAATGGACTTGCCATCAAACACTTGGAAGGGGTTGCCATGGCCAACGGAACTTTTGCACTATATAATTACACCACTTGCGGATGTCCATTTCACACGACTTGGATAGTCCATGCAGGTATCAATACTGCATCCGTTGATTGGCTTCTGAAGCTGCGCATTCATTCCAAGACAAGCTCAGGGACATGAATACCGCATTCTACCATGTCGACAGAGTGTAGGGCTTCAATGGCTTCATCACTTCCATGCCCCCCACCTAGTTTACGCCAGGTGTTTCGAAAGAATCTCCGCCCTTTAGTGCGTTGGTTTTCGATCGTCTTGGCCAAACCAATTGGGATCCTTGATCCTGAGACGTCAATTGCTCGGTGTTCGGCTCCACCAGAGACGCGAGACTCGGGAGTCGAAAGCATGGCGGCAGGACTCCCAATGTAGATCTTCAGTATCATCTGTCGCACGGTGGAAGAGAGGTAGCTAAGCTAGAGGACAGGCGCCTGACTAGCCTCCTGACTAGCATGGAATGCTGAAGTTTCAGGGCAAGTTTTCTGTTTGTGACAGCTTGTCAAGAATATGATCTCAAGATGAAAAAGAACAAACACACCCCATCGCCCCACTCATCATCCGGGACTCGAACAGGTCACTGGATAAGGAAAATAACACATACATACACATACTGTAGTGGGCAAAACAATAATATATAATTGACGAGCCCAAAAAGAACTGATCGAGAGGATGATTGATTCAGCTTCGGCTCAGCGACCGTCAACCTCCTTTTTTCAGGAACCGCGCTCTTTCACTACAGTTTATAGACTCTCAAATTCTGCACAGGCCGGTAGATTGAAAACTTCCTCGAGATGAAGACCAGCATGGTTCAACTCCGGCCAGGTGTCAAATACTGCAACCCTGCAATCAAGCCTTCGCGCATCTTCTATAATTTTCTTCTGCTTGATTATTGTCTCTTCAACAAGGTGATGGTGAATCTCTGCAATCTTCAAATCTTCTCATTAATACTCACATACAACTCACCTTCACCACTTTCCATCTGCCCAATCCGTCTTCACCCCGCCGTGACTCTGGTGCCAGACTTCGGACCCATCCCATCCCCGACGACCTCGGACCCCCTTCGCTGTGCGGTCGTCACCTGCGACGCTGGGATTCGTCACGCTGAAGCTGAAGGAATAGAAGTGACTGACCACCAACCTGGGCGCCATCAGGCTTTGTCAAACAAAACGAGAGCTGCTCCTCCCCTTGGGGCACGGTGAACGACGACGGAGGATGCATTGTGTTCACAACTTGGAGACCAAGGTTTCTTCAGCTATAAATGGTTTGCAGGAAACCAATTGGTTTGATATGCTTTGCATGGGGTGTTTATTTCATCTATTGAGTGGGAATGGCTCCAACTGTCGGTCTTCCTATAACATCCACCTGGCACTGTTGCTCAACACCTCCCCACTCGGCCTTTGGCTCGACGGCCGCAGACACGTCCCCGGGCGCGTCCCCGGATTCTGTTTGATCCATGACGTGGCGCCGCCTGGGTTCCTCACTAAGTGCAACTGAAACACCGCGACTGTCAATCAAAACAGTTTTTCCCACCAAAAATGAATAGACTTGAATAGACTATATCTGGCAGGTCAATCCACCCCGGTTTGGGGCTCCGTATGCTTCGTGGTTTTGACCCACGGTCATATGTCGTTCACTCGGAACAAACGCATGTTCACCTCGATGGGTTGGGCACGGGCTCGGCTTCTTGCCCAAGGCACGGGTAGACCAAGGAGATGTTCAGCCGACTCCAAACCTGGGACGCTCCGTTCCGAGCGAGCTCGTCTTCTGCGTGAGAGCTCGTCAGCTGCTCACAGATCTGGGCGAAAGCTGCAAATGAGCTGTGTTATTTTTTTTGTTATTATTTTATACAACTGGCTCCAAAGATCACTATCATCCATTCTTCGTCCAAGTTCCATCCCCTTCCCCTCTCAATTTGATTACATCATGGCCGGTTTGGGCGCAAAGAGGCTTGTTACGCGTACAATCGTGTACATATACAAATGCATTCAGCTCCTATGTTTTTTGATTTGTATTTAACTTCATATTTATTCCAGTCTATGAATGCAAAGCTGTACCACACACAGTAGGCACCCAAAGTATGAGTTTCTTTGGAACAGGTTGGATTAATTATGCCTGTTGTGAGATATTCCTGTACCAGTATTCAGTCTTGTTGTTCTCTCATTCTTCCCCAGTCTGCTCGACCTCTCTGGTTGTTCACCGCTCACTTTCTGCCGCTGCGACGATGCTCGAGAAGCCCACGTCCAGGTTCGCCACCTCAGTGATGCCAGGCAAAGCGAACCAGGAGACCGGTTCGCCCGTGCGCGAGGTCTCGGGGAGAGGTCTCGGGGCCGCAGCTCTAGCAACTGGCGAACCGGTGTAACCATGTCTTTTCGCAGTGTCGACCGGTGGAACATGGTGGAACCCGGCGTACATATCTAATGGTGGACACGGCGCCATGCGCCCCGCGCGTGTTTTGGTATTGTTTGGGTTTGTGTCAGGTTATAGTTCAGATTCATGTCATCAGTCATGGCGCTCGTTACCGTCATGGTGCCATCACTGATATCCTCCAGTTGACCTAGCTGGTGTCGTGACTCGTGACCGGACACGAGTAGGTGGAAAAGGGTCTGTAGGTGTTGACCCACCTGCGCCATCCTCTGGAAAACCACATGGAAAGTCCAGAGGTTCGGACACTATGGTGGAAAATGGACGCTTTTCCATGTGGTTTTCCCCTTCCTCCATCCTCTGCCTCCCACACACCTGGGAAGCCGGTCGCTTTGGGGCGGCAAGTTCTCTCGGTTGAAGGTCTCCGGGTCCAGCACGAAGAGGGAGGGAGCTAAGACCACCAGAGAGCCTGGCGCAGTGCCAAGACTTGTTGGCAGGGGCACGCACCCAGAACCATCAAACACCTGAGGTTCACTCTGAAGATCTCTGGTTGTGATGAAGCCATCAACCAAAGGCTTGAGTGGCGAAACCACTGCTTGTGCTCCAACTGCCGAGTTGGATCAACTGGAATTCTGCTAGTGGCAGAGTCCCTCGCGCGCAAGGGCGCAAGACATGTGGATCATCGAAACACTTTCTGGATCTTGGACAACTTGAGAACTCACTTGAAGCGGATTGGAAGATCCTTCAAGTGGATTCATTGCAGCGGATTGGAAGAACCTACTTTCCTCAGTTGAAGCGTTCTTTTTCCAACTGAAGAATTCTTCAAAAGCTCCTAGTCCTAGCCCTCCTCAAACCTTGCTCGAGCCATCTGCCACACAGCCCAGTGCCCGGTTGATCGAACTTCTCCCAGACCTCCAGTAGACATGCTGGCACCCTCAGGCAAGCGGAAGGTCATTCGTACCTCGAGGTGCCCGGAAACCGACTGCAACAGGCAGAGACTGGGGGAGGGAGATGAATGGAAGGTGGGAGAAGGAACTTGGAGATCTTGGAGGGAGCAACTGATACAAAAACCACTCCTTCTTCACTGTTCCAACTTATTGGAGCAGTGGGGTGTATTTAAACGAACAGATACTTGCTGCACCTCTGGGGCAACTACTTGGTTTGGCAAGGGGGCAAAAGGTAACAAACTAAAACATTCCGGATCAACACTCCCTTCTGGCCCAATTTCTTCGGTCACCCTCGTCGCCACTGCCGATTGATAACCCAACCGATCTCCCATGTGTTTGTACTTGCAACTTTGGAACTATGAGGTTCATTCTGCCCCTGCAGTTTTGCAAAACATGCCGTTCTTGAACACCACCTGGAAACACCTATATAAGAACTTTGCTGTTCCGCACGCCAAGAAGTTGGATCGGACCGGTGCTCGCCAGAAATATGTAGTAAATTAGATGGTAGAAACATTTAAAAACACAATGAAACACGTTACATATCCAAGAAACAGTTCTGAAACACCCATGGATCGGATTCTTTCAACCTTTGGCTTTCCTTTATGTTCTACATACCTCCATACCTCTCCGACTCCCTCCGACTCCGTTTCTCTTCCGCTGAGGCGACCCGCGAAGTTGTACTTGTATCCGACCTCTGGAACGGATCCGTAGAGTCCAGCCACCTGGCAGGTGCCCTGGACTCCGTCTGGTCATGCGTTGGGTTGTTCAAGTCCAGAACGAAGGTTCGAGGCGGCGGATTGGTGGTTGCGTAGGTTGCTTTCTGCTTAGTCGATTTGAGGCTGGCAAAGATTTGGTGAAACTAAGATGTCTTCCAATCTCTGTCCAAACTTATACCGGATTGCCCTCTCCTGACCCTTTGCTTCAAAAAGGCAAGAGGTTCACTCATGCAATCGGTTTCCTGCTGGGACTAGGGATGCCACCACTTGAGTTGGGGCATTTGGTATGTTTTGATGAACTTATCCAGACCGAAGACAAATCATGTTTCATACACTTGTCAGGTATTTTTTGATGGTTTTGATTGTTCTTTTTTGACAATCCTCTTCAGGCCTGGGGGTGAAATAAGAATCAAGAGTTTCCATTTGGCAATGCTTGTCCTTGCACAGCAGCTAGACTGCTGAGTCAAATCGCAAGACTAACAAACAGGCGTTGCCCCAGTTACAGTTGCTGCATTTTTGTCAGCTGCAGCCTCAACAATCGCACAACTTCCGAGTGGCCGTTCTGGGCCGCAATCAACAAAGCCGTTGCCCCTGTTGTCGTTGCTGCATCTTTCTCAGCTCCAGCCTCAAGCAACAATCGCACAACTTCCAAGTGGCCTTTGCGGGCGGCATAAAACAAAGCCGTTGCCCCTTCTGTCGTTGCTGCATCTTTGTCAGCTCCAGCCTCAAGCA